CACACACACACACACACACACACACGTGAATGCAAATTCTACTCGGTTGAGCAACAGCATAGTTCTTAACCAGTAATCCTACAGAATAATATGTAATCCTACAGAATCCCAGAGTCTCACTTAAAATGGGGGAATTGATAGGATTTCTTTCTGGGGCAGGGTGGAGGGTAGTTTAATCATTTTACATGCAGCATTAGTTGTTTAAAAATGCCTTAGTACAGCATCGGTGAATTTTTTGTGTGTCTAAAATATGATGTAATGAATAATAACATGAAGAGCTATGAGATTCTTCATATTGTATAACTACACATATCAATTGTTTTACAAATTTTAAGGACAAAGAAAGACTTCTTCATTTGAAATTAATAAAACTAAAAGTATAAAACATATTTCATTTCAGTTCAGTTATTAGGAATTCAGAATTTTCACCAATAAATAGTAATTTAATAAAACACAAATGAAAGTCTTTATTCCCAAAACCATAAACATGAAATGTTAGACATAATCCTATTTGATATGTAAAAAAAATCGAGGTAGGTTGATTCTACTAAACAAGCCCTTTTCAAAGCTTTTTTATAAAGTTCTAAATTTTTTTTGAGCATTTTGCAGTGCTCATTTGGGTATCATTTCCAGTACCACTGAATTATAAATATATTTTGATTGATGTTAAAGTATAAATGTGCTTTTTAAAAAACTGGTATCATTCTTGATGATTCCTTAATGAATAAAAGAACCACTGTGTACCCATGGTCCTAAAAGTTTTCAGATTCTAATTGTCATAACCCTCCTCTCTCAAGGGATTTACAATATGTACATACAAACTATATTCATTCACCTTTATCTGAAAAATTGTTAATACCTCTTTTATTGGTTTTCATAGCAAGAGAAATTGGGTGACATCTGCTTCTCCCTCCGCTACGTACCTACTGCTGGTAAACTGACTGTCGTAATTCTGGAGGCAAAGAATCTGAAGAAGATGGATGTGGGTGGCTTATCTGGTAAGTCCTGGTGATTATTGATTTTTTTAAAAATGCTCTTTCATCATGGATACCAAATGCATTGCACAACTGCTGTGACTCCCTATTCCTTAATTGATCACAGTCCTCTTTCCTACTGAGCCTGGAAGCAGTCTCAGAATCCATCCTAACACTGTGCCCCAGGAAACCACTCTCAATTTATTGGAATTGGCATCAAACATAAAATCTATTTTCCTTCTTCATAGCCAAAGTATCAATTGTCATTTCTTGGCATTGAAAGCTAAAAATTTCTGCTTCCCTTCTGACAGACCCTACTGTGACAGATTATAGTTTGAGGGGTTTTGTTTTTGGTTTTGGCTCAAAATTCACCCAAGATATATATATAAAGTATTCATCAGAGACTTGTTTATTAGGTATTTGATAGTCTAACATAATTTTTATAATATCATTTTATTAAAGGCTTGGCCATATATATATATATATATATATGTATATATGTATATGTATATATACATATATATACATCATCTGTTTGAAAGTGAACTCCCATGGTAATGCATTCAGTACTATAGCTTAGAGTAAATAGGGGGGCTTTGGGGTTTAAAGTATATACAACCCAATCATAATAATAAAGAGTGGATGAAGTACATTCTTGTTCCAAAGCAAAGTCAAGTCAAGGACTGGTCATTTTCATGGTTGAACATAATTTTTTTCTCCTCTGTATGATTAAATCAATTATATTTTTAATGTTCCAGTAAATCATTAAAGTGTGAAGAATTTTCCTGATACACTACAAGGTCATCATAAGTAGACTACAGTTGACATTGATTCTGTCCACAGATTTACAATGGATACTACTTGTTACTCAACAGTTTCTCTAATAAAAGTATTGCAAACTTCAAAAGGTCACACTAATACAGCATGGTGATCTTATATTCTAAAGCACAACAGCTAAAAAATGCTAAAGTTGAATTTCCACTTACTAACCCACTAATTTGTAAACCAATTTCCCCTTGTACCTAAGTTTACTTCTCTTTATAAATAAGCCACCTGGGGAAGATACACTAATTCTTTCCTATCACCAAGACCCTATTAAATAATGTCCTGTTTTCATTGCCTTAACAGCATGACAAAGCAAATTTGGAGCAATGAGCACAGTTTCCTCTGAAAATATGAAGAATATTTAATATGCCTAGTGAAAAACATGCAGAGAAATTTTTTTACTACAATTACAGTGTGCTCTCAGATTACTACTTAGTATCCTAAGGTCTTCACATACCTTGACCTTTCCAGCTCTTCTGGTTCAATAGCCACGTACCATTAATGGTTTCAGTAATGGTTCCTCAGAGACTCCTTTCCTAACTTCCATGCCAACCATCCTCTCATCACCACATCCAGGACTCCCTTAGTCTTCCTAGTTTATCCTGGGTCCTTCAGCAGAGTTCCACAGCAGTGTTTCCATGAAGGCAGTAAAGATTCAGGGCCCCTTACTTGTACTGGCTTCTCTCAAGTTCATAAAGTTCCCATGGTCACAGACATTTCAGCTGCCATTTTTAATCACAATTTGCTGTCTCTTTCCACATGACTTTTCCTTCATCATTCATCCCTTCTTATTCCATTATATCAGAGAAGCTATAGGCATTTTCAGAATTTGGCTAAGGAAACCTGGGTCTAGCAGGCTTCCATTCATAGCCATATATTACATATATTTCTTACTACTAACAAGCCCAGCAAAGGAAGGAAATCCGGGATGGCTCCTACCACCCACTGTACTAACACACCAGTGTGACAGGAAAGGGGTACACTCAGAGGTCAGATCTAATTTAAGATTCAAACTTTTGTATCCTTTTCTCTAAAGAAAATCATCAAAACTTTATTAGTTTCAGAACCCACACAACCTAGCTCCACCCCGACACTTGAATTACCTGGAATGATTTTGTTTAATTATTAGATATTAAATGAAGATACTTAAAGTGCAAATACCCTTAAAGAGGTCAAATTTTAAGGGCTTCCTGCTGCCTGCTGAATCAAATCATAACCACTGTAACCACATAATGTAGGTAATTTCACTATGTCATACCATATCTCACTGCAACCAAATGGACAACCACACTCTTCTCCAAATTCACAGTGCGACTTGCTACCTTTCTTTGCTTAGAAGGTTTCCTTTACCTAGAATTCCCTCTCTTCAACCAATGTCTAGCTCAATCCTACCCATTCTGCAGGTCCAGTTGAAGTATTATTTCTTTCATTGTGTAAGCACTAGATTCACTTTAGTGGACAAAACCAACAAAAGGCTCTGCCCTCCTACAGCTTGTATTTTAACGTGGGGAGACAGATAAGAAGTCAATAAATGAAAAAGCATATAGTGAGGTGACCAGTACTATGGAGAAGTAAAGCAGGTAAGATGGTAAAGAATGTTGGAAGTTATGTAAATGGGGTGGTAAGGGAAGGCCTGATGAGTAGGTGACATTTTGGAAACAACCTGGAAGAGGAGCAGAAGCGAAGCATGGGATCACGTGGGGAGAGAGAAAGTTTTAGATAGTGGGACTCTGTGAAGCCTTTTCTGATCCATCCCACTAAAATAAATCTTTGTCTTTTTTAAATGCCACTAGCAGTTTGTTCACACCTCTGTAACATCGCACTTCTCTCTCACTAGGCTGCGTTCTGTATTTATGTCTCTCACAATGCTCTCACTGACTGGTAGCACTGAGCATAGCTGCTGAATGAATAATGAATTATTTACAAAGGAGGTATGGCCTGAAAAAACAAGTCCTGCATTTCAAATTTGTTTAACCTACTTACCATTAAAACAACTTTAAGCATTTGGATGGTCTGTCTCAAAGTAAGCTGACCTACGTACAAGGAAACCAAAATTATATAATAAGATCATTTCAGGTAATCCAAACGCCAAACTGCATTTACTGGAAATGGCTAGTTAATTGGAACCAAAGTGGGATGTTTTTCCCATGTTTACATCCCACTCTGCCACTACTAGCAATTTAACATTGAACAAGTTATGTAGCTCTTCTAAACCTCACTTGCATTATCCATGAAGCAGAGTGATAAGGGAACACTGCAGATAAGTTTATTTTGAGAACTAAGTGACAGCACAGAACCTGAAACAACTAAGTGCTCATTAAATATTTCTGTAATTATTTCTATTACTGACTTTATCAAATCTTGGGATAACTATGCAAAATGTGAAAACAACAGATGGTTTAAAAACTTGCTTGATTCAATGGGGAAAAAACAATTCATCCATTTGATAGAATTGTCCGATCAATTCAGGCAAATCAGTAAGCCTATGTTTTGAATAGACCCAGTAGTGAATTAAGACAAGATAAGGAATTAATCAGCAATACATTGAAGAAAATAAGAAAATTTATTTATTTATTTATTTATTTAAATTAGGTTTATAGCACAGCAGAATGTATTTTGATTTATTGTACACAATTGCAGCACAACTTTTCATTTCTCTTTTTTTACACATGTAGTATTACACCCTATGTGCAGTCTCACATGTACCTAGAGTAATGATGTCCATCTCTTTTCTGCCCCCATGTACCCTCCTCAACCTCCCTCCCCTTTGCCCAAAGTTCTTCCATTTTCCCATGCCTCCCTCCTCCCCGTTTGGGATCAGCACCCACTTATCAGAGAGAACATTCGGCATTTGGTATTTTGGGCACTAACTAACTTCACTTAGCATGATACTCTCCAACTCCATCCATTTACCTGCAAATGCCATGATTTTACTGACTTTTAATGCTGGGGTGTATATATACCACAGTTTCTTTATCCATTCATCTGCTGAAGGGTTTCTAGGTTGCTTCCACAGTTTAGCTATTGTGAATTGAGTAGCTATGAACATTGATGTGGCTGTGTTACTACAGTATGCTCATTTTAAGTCCTTTGGGTATAGATCGAGGAATGGGATAGCTGGGTCAAATGGTGGTTTTCTAAGGAATCTCCATACTGCTTTCCAGAGTGGTTGCACCATTTGCAGTCCCACCAGCAATGTATGAGTGTGCCTTTAAGTTTTTTTGAGTTTTTACATACCCTGGAGATTAGTGTTCTATATGACATGTGTGTGACAAAAATTTGCTCCCCAAATGTAGGGTCTCTCTTCACCTCATTGTTTCTTTTGCTGAGAAGAAGCTTTTTAGTTTTAGACCATCCCATTCATTAATTCTTGATTTTATTTCTTGCTCTTTAAAAGTCTTGTTAAGGAAGTCAAAGCCTAATATGACATGATGTAGATTTGGGCCTGCTTTTTCCTCTATTAGGCACAGGATCTCTTGTCTAATTTCTAGGTCCTTGCTTGATCCACTTTGAGTTGAATTTTATGGATGGTAAGAGATAGGGATTTAGTTTCATTTTGGTGCAATAAAAGTTTCCAGTTCTCCCCTCACCATTTGTTGAAGAGGCTATCTTTTCTCCAATGTATGTATTTGGCACCATTGTCTAGTATAAGATAATTGTATTTATGTGGGTTTGTCTCTGTGACTTCTATTCTATACCACTGGTCTACATGTCTATTTTGGTACCAATATCATGCCATTTTTGTTACTATAGCTTTATAATATAGCTTAAGGTCTGGTATTATGATGCCTCCTTCTTCTTTCATTGCTTTGGCTATTCTGGGTCTCTTATTTTTCCAAATGAATTTCATGATTGCTTTTTCTATTTCTATAAGGAATGACATTGGGATTTTAATTTAATTTGCATTGAATCTGTATAGTGCTTTGGGTAGTATGGCCATTTTAAAATTAAAACTTGACAATATTAATTTTGACTATCCAAGAGCATGGGAGGTCTTTCCATCTTCTAAGGTCTTCTTTAATTTCTTTCTTTAGTATTCTATAGTTTTCACTGTAAAGGTCTTTCACCTCTTTTGTTAATTACCAAGTATTTTATGTTTTTTGAGGCTATTGTGAATGGGGCAGTTTTCTTAATACCTCCTTCAAGGAGTCATCACTGATGCACAGAAATGCATTTGATTATGGATATTGATTTTATAT